CGCAGTGTCGGATTAAGTTAATATGTTTATGTCATCCTATTTTAGGAATTGACCCACTACGCAGCGTGGAGAACCGCCAAAATGCTGGAAGGCACAAGTCTGAGCTGAGGTGGGGAAATAGCTGATTTGAAGAATACTCATAAGAATGTAAAGGACTGAAAGTTTAATCGACTTAATTATATGCATGCCTTTCACTGTGATTAGTCGTTAGGAGTGACGTCAATCAATTGAGTAGAGCAGAACGGCTGACACTTTAGGCAGAAATCTGAAAGTGTTCCGAATTGTGCAAAGCAAATACTGTAGCAATGCAATCTATAGCCTTAAGATGGTTAAAATCAGCAGTCACTTCGATTGGTGAGACACTTTGATGGGTTGATGAAACCAACGCTCCCACAAAAGTCATATACACTTTCATGGAGCTTGAAATACGGCTTCAAAACTGACCCACGTGTTTTACCAGGGAGGATGGCAATGAAGTTGATGGGAGCACTGAACGGAAGTATCAAATGCTGAGTACCTAGGATTCAAAGTCGACGGACCATGGCAGCTTCAATTAGTAGGAGGGAGATTGAAGGAGCCAGCTTGATAAAGGCATTCCAGACAGCAGGCATTTTTGGTAACTACTATTTCCATGAAGCATACATTTAGTGAATCTACGCATGTCTTGGAGAATTTCAGAGCAATACAGATTGAAAGAACTTCAGAGCTCTCAGTACCTTTAAAAAAGCGTGAGAAGGGTAGAATTTGAGGGACGCGGCAAACTCACCGAAGACCCACCAAGCAATGAGGAGTTCGATTCGATTGGGATCTGGTCCGCGTGTCATTTGGCGTGATTCGAGGGCTTTAACTGACTGACCGTCGGTAGAGGCAATGAGGAGGAGGATGAGGAAGATGGCAATGGAGGCGCTATGATTAACAAACTTGATGAGCGGTGAGCGTAGAATGCGCGCCACCGATCCACGGGGATACACGAGATAGACGAGAGCGAGGAATGGCAGCGCAGCCACGAACCCCACGCATAGTAGTAATTTGAATATCGGGTGGCGCTTTCTCCAGCCCGGCAGTTGATCGTACCACAAGGTTGTCAGGATGTGTTGGCAGTGCGGATGAGCCACAAACTGTACCAAAAGTAAGCGAAGCACAGCTTATTCATTTTTGTAATTGAATGCGCATTAATTTTCTTAAATTATTTTTCCTCAACAATCGTGTAAACGACTGCTGACTAAGTGGACAGAGCTTCGGTGCTGAATCATTTCGATTCCTCACCTTTGATTAACCATGCGCCGGCATTTAAAGACTTTCACAAACAGAGACTGTATAACCAGTTGCATCTCTGGGAGTTTCAAGAAGTAAGGACAACGGGGTTCGAGAGTTTGGAACCAACAGCAAGTCCAAATTAATGGAATAATTTAATGGCAAATTACTTGCAAGAACAGTGTGTCTTAAGTAAACAAAGCAATAAGGGTCTGCTTAATAGCCTAAAAGGATGTTGATGTGCTGCCAAATAAGTCAGATTCCTTTTTTTAAGAGTATGACTGCGTTCATTTAGCGGGAAACTGCTACGGTATTTGGTTAGGCGAGGGTGAGTGTGGAAACGTCTCCGTTGGAGTAATTGGTGCCTTTACTTGCATAAACATCATTCAATGATTTGCAAACAGCTTATAAAATACATGAAATTTATAACACATATTCAGTACTTCTTCCCTCTTTAAATATTTTAACTAAACATGTGGTTGGAGCAATGATTAGCAAAAGTGACCAAGTTATCGTGAGGAAGGCACTCTTGGAGTGAGATAGCCACCACCCAAAGTTTCACCCTTTTCAGGGCTTTACATGCTCCCAATTCTACGCACCATCCTCCTCCATAAGTGTGAACAAAAAGGTGGGTTTGAGATGCTACCAGTACAATTAACTAAAAACCAGAAGTTAAATCTAAAATAGAATATTTCCAAGCCCAAAATAAGACACACCACTACACATTACACACTTCATTCAAACATTAAGGATGACAACCAAAGCTACCTCTTTTCCCTGCCCTCTGCTGTGAACACCGCTGACCTGGTTGAGGTATTCACCGCACGAGGTGATGCCGCTAGGGTCGCCAGTGTGGCCACTGGCCTCGTGAACAATATGAAGGAGATACTAGCATACATCAAGACTAATAAATGTACTCACTATTGTATAAGATGCTGACGCTGATTTGGATTTTAGAATGACAAAAAATCTAATTACTTTGATTTTAACAGTTAAACTATGAAATGGAATGTAAAAGTTAAGCAGATCTCCCATAGATTGTATTTGCCTAAAGTCTACCGATGTTTATCTGCTTCGCCCAGAAGCATTGCCATTGAAGTAAAAACGATTGTGACTTACTATTGTGAACGTTTTCCGCAAAGTTATCTTGCAATTTCTTTAGTCTAGAAATCTCAAATACCCTTTTCATCAAAGTGTATTCCTGATTCGATTTGTCGACACCTCCAGCTTTTGGCAGAGACAGTCGTGGTTTAAAAGGTAATGGCTTGCGTTTCTGTCCGAATTCATCGACCCTTAACTATTTTCAGAGTCCCAATGCCTGCCTGGCAAAGGTGCTCGAGAGAGTGTTACCGAGGTTGCCATAGTATCAGTGGGAAAGCTGTAAATACCTCCCAATACGGGCATTCGGTTGAGGAGACGTCTACCCTTTAGACATCTCATTAAATCCAATTTGGCCCATAGCATCTCTGATGTTCATTACTTTCAAGGAACTTGTACATCGAAAGCATGGCTGGATTAACTTGAATGTCCCCATTAAGCCTAAAAATTAGATACGTGGGATCCGCAAAATTACACCGTAATGGAGCAATTCTAAGTGCTAGAACTCGTTTAAAGTCTCTAAATCTGATATGGACATGAACAGCATATATTTTGAGATTTTATCAAAACCGGTGTTGTTGCCTTCTCATCACGTAACATAGGGGTAAGAGACAAATTTATTTGGTCTTGGGATCCACAACTTTTGTGGATGCTATCCTTACATCATGCATATCAGAATTTCATTTGACTTTCTTTTCTTTCTTTCTGCTGCAAAGCATTCAAGCAAAATTAACGAATTAAATCACCGTGATCCTTTGAGCGCCAAAGCTGCACTGTAAGGCTATAATTTGCAAGTCAATTTGATCACTTAGTAGACTTTGGACTTCTCAATGCCAATAAAACTGGGCTGCCGCATACTGTTTAAGTGTTTCTTTTCCTAGCTTGATTTAATGGCTCATGTATTTGAGCATTCGTGGAAGACTTCAATATTTTAAGCGTTATCACTTATATTCTTGTGGTGATTTGGAAGTAATACGCTTATCATAAATCCTTCCTTAAATGCAAAAAAATAGCCATACTTGAAGATGTGACCTACCTAGTACTGCACTTGAATTACCGATGGTGTAGACTTGCTTGCTTAGGCCTTCACTGTATTCATCTTATTAACGACAAATTCGGTCATGCAAACAAGGCAGAAATCTAAACGTGCTACTTAGATGCGCCGTCACTATGCCGTAGCCCCTCGCCCCTTCCTTACGTCGACAGTGCTTATAACGACGGAGCACTATTTCTTCTCCCAAGTCTCGAGGAGATGCATTTACGCTCCATTTTCACCCCGACTGTCCCATAGAATGACCTCTGCGGCTACATCGCATTCTGTGCAGTTTATTTGACCGCTTCGCATCCATGGTAGATGAATGCGATTTGCATTCCCAACAAAACTCAGCTTCAAGCTGCACTCACCTCATATTTACCATATACATTTGCATTCGGATAGCCACATTCCAAAGAAGCATACATTATGAGGGAATCACACCGCCTTGACTTATTAAAAAAAAACACTTTCACCTGACTTTCCGAACGCAGATCCTATTAGCTCTACTGGATTATAGCAGAAGCAGTCATCAAAATGCAGGATTCCTACCCGCCAAGGCTGGCAGACCTTTCAATGACTATTCTCGACATCAATAACCCTCATGTTGCGTAGGTCTCTTCCGCTGCTCAGACGCTAAAGCAGGAAGTAGTGGTTTCAGAATACTACTGGGTTCTACATTTCCAGACGATGCTCATGTCGATTGCGTCACTGTCTCTATCGCACATGTACTGTTGGATAACTTTATGCCACTTCGGCAATGACTAATTGAAGCAGAGTATAGAGAGTCGCCCACATGTTTGACAGTGTAACGACTTCTGCTCAAAACACTAGGTTTTCAAGTACTTTCGTATCTTTAGGGGTAGAGTGAAACCGACTTTTAGTTTAGGCCTAAACTAGCGAATGGTTAAACAAAAAGCACCTTTTCTTTACTGAGCCAGTTACTTGAGTTGCCAAACAAAGGGGTCATTTAGGGTCTAGTTCGCTTATACCCATAGTGGACTTGTTTTCGTCTTAATGTTTGAATTTGATGTTCAAATGTTATTCGTAGAATTTGTAACGAAAAACTACATCTTGTGGT